TTTGCTGGAGGTCACCTATAAATAAATTAGCAACTTAAATAATGGTAAGGATAACTCTAGATTCTATGAAGGTAATTTATAAGTACGGGGGTAGCAACTTCTAGACATTGTCTACATCACAGGTTTAGCCCCATAAATTCTAGTGTTATCTACCAGCAGGCAGGAAGGGAAGAGCAGAGGAAAAAAAGCTGCGCCAGGCTTTGGCTTCCCTAACCCCGCTGATTGCACAAGTTTTAAAATTGTGAATAAATGGATGCTTGCACCAATTCAAGACAAAAGAGTTTTAAATTATGAGTATCTCTGCTTAAAACTCCTCCATTACTTCTTTCCTTATGGGCAAGGACCTGCCTTCTTTGAATAAAGAAAGTGAAATTCCACTATTCACAGAAATACAGTTGAAGTTAATGTGGGATTTAAAAAGATCAGGGGTTTAGGAGGCATGAGAGCAGGTGAGACCTGTAACAGCCATCACAGGACACTCTAAGTAGTGCTAAGTTTCGAAAATAACAGCCAATGTTTGCTGAATGGCTCTTGTGTTAAGGGCTTTATTATGTGTTATTCCTCACAATACCCTGATGCGTTAAGTTCTCTCATTGCAAAGGAGAAGCTGAGGTTGAGGTCACACAGCCAGAACATGGAGAAGGGGGCAATGGAGCCAGGCAGTGGCCCTTGGAAGTCCACACTCTTACCATGATGCGCTGCTCTGTTTCAGTCATGACACTTCTTGTCTTGATCCTGGCGTGATCTTATCAGCTAGGGTGCTAAGGTTTCTAAGCAGTGCTGATGTCTGATCCATCAGCTTCAGAGATCTGCTTGCTGGTGAAGAACGTTTTGAAGTTAGAGACATGGTAGGAATGCTGTAGCTGTAGGCTGGCTGACAAGTCACCAAGGAAGGTCTCCAAAGGAAGAGACACTGTACACCTTGAGGCTTGCCTCAGCCTCTGAAATGGGCTCCTGCTTCTGAATCACAGGAACCAAACTCACAAGATACTAATGTACAGAATGCCAACTTACTAATTTCCAGTGAGTGACTAGAATATTCACTGTTCAGAGAACTCTCTCCTAAGAATCAAGGTTCACAGAAGCCTCCTTAGTCACTGTAACTTCATTTGCTGAACTCAAATAACGAATAAAGGGAAAGGATGGCACTGATGTTTGGAATTCCACGAGGGCAGCTAGACCTACAAAACCAGAGGCGGTCCAGGACCAGTTAGTTCACAAACAAGCACTTCAAGAGAGTGTTGCAACTCAGGATGACCAGGTAGTACAGCACAGTCCAATAGTGAGTATTTTTACATGTGATCCTCACGTATCTTGAGCATTTCTGAAAGATGTCCAACAAAAACTCCCTAAGTTTCATGAAAGTGCTTTCTCTTAAGTTTGGTGAGATAACCTTATACTAAGAAACATCCTGTAAACTACTGGCAGTACAATGCATGTATTGCCAGCAATGTGGGACCACTACTGCTAAAACCAAAGGAAGATTTGGAGAGAATGTTATATAAAAAGTGAAGGACTTGACTAAGAGCTCCTCGACAACCTAGAGCACTTACAGATAGATGTCTACACAAAACACTTCTAGAGATTTAAAAAAAAAATTCCCCCTAGATGCTGGGAAATACGTACTTGTCAATTATCAAAGTTATGGCCTAATCTTACATTTAATTCACATTTTTCAAAAAAGCTGCTCAAAATCCCATGCCTTAGTGACACTTGTAAATAATCCAAGGCATGGTACTGTGGTATTCCTCATTGGCACTTAGAACATAAATGAAGGATGTCTTGATAAACTAAGTATCTTCCTATTTGAAATGTGCAGAGACATAATTTACTAAGTTGGTTATGGTCAACAAGTAGGGACTGAATTTTATTCTTTTTTTTTTTTTTTTTTTTTT